AAAAAAAATAAAATAATCAAACAAAGAAAAGAAACAAAGGAGAACTGAAAAGGAAAGGAAGAAAGAAAAGGAAAGTAACCAAAAGAACGAACTTGGGGTCTCAGCTCTTGATGGCATTAGGGAAAGGCAATCAGCGGAAGCCAGCCAAGAGCCACGTTTCAGTGGATAGATACTACCGTGGCCTCTGGCTCTGAAGCCCCTCTACGGGAAGGAGATCCTTTGCTCCTTCTGACCATCTGTAAGTTGCTGAGAGGGAAGCCCGTGAGCACTGCAGCACAAATGATCTGCAGCCACAAGGAAAGTGTCAGGCCCAGATGTCCTGAGCATACCTGACAAAGGATAGCGGCTCACTTTTAAAACGAGGAGGGGAGAAATGAAACAAAATTGCAATGTTTTATCGCTTGGGATTTTGGTCACATTTGGCGCGAAAGCTCTCGAGATGGTTATTGAATGTGTGTTAAATAGTGATTGATTATTAAGATCACATTTACTGAGGTTTAACAACACTGGAATAAAATGTTCATCTATTATCCAGTTGTTAAACCTCAGTAAATGTGTAGGTAATAATCGCAGCTGATTTATTTTACATATAATAAATCTCTTGTTATTCCCTTGCAAAGAAATGTTGTGTTAGAAGATATGGTCTTATGGGAAGTTTTTTTCTGCTCTGAAAAAAACCTGACTCTTTCTGGGCACATTAGAGTCACTGGAGATGGACAGATCCCTGCAAGAAAACTCTACTGGCTATTACAAACCTAGTGATACAGCCTGTCTCCCACTCGGGACACTGTTCCCACTGGTCCAATAGGAGAACTGTTGGATTTTCAGATCTCCAGGAACTGACTGTGGGTTTAGCTTGGGAGAGGAGTGAAACCTCATCTGGGTTTTTAATCAGACCTTGAACAGATGCTGATTGCAGCCTGAAAGAGCAGCAGAACCTGAATTTAACTTCTGATCTCATCTGGAATAAACTGTGGATGCAGGCCATGGAGAAGACAGATCTGAACTGGAATTCTGAACCGTCTCACACAAGAGGAACCAGATTCAGAACAGATACAAAACACATATGAGTATATACTCATCTAGACACGGGACTGGAGAATGAGGAAGAAGGCCTCTCACCTGGCCAAATACTTGAAAGCCCTCTTCAGAAACAAAAAAAACCAAAGAAAAGAAAACAAAGAGACAAACAGAAGGAGCGCGAGGCTGGGGGCGTGCTGTGGGAAAGAGGTACTCACTTAGTAATGCAGGGTTGCTGAACCGCCAGGCCTCGTTGTAGGTTGTGTACTGAGGGTGGCTGTAGGGGTTCCCTGAGAACTCGCTCCCTGGAAGAAAGCAAGCAAGGTGTGAAATACAGTTAAGAATGAAGATTTACATCTGCTATTCCATCAAGCCAGTTTTCATGTTGAATCCATATGCCAGCAGAAAAACTAGTGTATGTAGGTAGCTTCCTTGCCCAGCTGGGACTGTCCCCTTCAGGACTTTGTAGTGTTTGTTCAGTGCAATGTTGCTTACCCATACAATTAAAAATCATAAGATTGACCTCTTCAGAATCAAGAAATTAGTTTAAAATAATGAAATTCAATAATACAAATAAATAATTAAACTGGTTTATTTTTAATTGCCTTCTGACTTCTGATTCTCAGGTTGCAATAGGATTGCACATGCAAGCTTTTTCTTCAATTAACTATCAGCTTTCTTTTAAATAAAATCTAAGGTTCTCCAGTAGTGTCAAGACAGCAGGCATGGGAGCTTGACAGGACAAGCTCACAAAACTCATTGGAACCAGCAGTGCTGTTGATGGCAATATGTATTGCTAAGTTTTGTTCTTAAGGTGCTGAGGGTGATAACGTATTTGTGGAGAAGAGTATCGATCATTATTGGAAATGGTCGGAGAGTAGGGTGGGCTTAAATATAAAACAAGATGGAAGACATGAAAACTCTTTCTTTCTTACTCTGTGTGATGGTGTTAGTCAGAAGAGTGATTTGTATATGATGAACCACAGCTTTATGCTTAGTTACTGAGTTACACAGAAAACCTGCTGAATTCCAGTTCCAGAAAATAATTTTCTAACTATTACTGCTTTAGGTGCTATTCTGAATCTGAAAGACAAGCTGGGCTACAGCTCCCTTTTTCATATTCAGTAAAATGGGCCCAAACCAAAATACTTGTGAGCTTTGTGATCTAATAAGTCTCTGACCCAAGATTTGAATGTCATAGAGTCTTCTTAAATATTCAGTTTTATTGTGCATAAGAAGCTAGGTCTCCTTGTTTTATAGAAGGCTGTGCAGGGCTAAGGGAATTATATTTGGTAACTGAGGAAGTATGGTGCTGCATTCAAAATAAATATCCCCAAACTTAAAAAATTATGATTCTGTTAAATGAAAACATTCCATTATCTGATCATAACCTCAATTTAATGCAGTACCAACAGGCTGGGGACAATTAGTGCCACCTGAAAGGCATTATGTGCTTTGAAGACAGTGAGAGAACAGCGTGACTATTAGCTTCTGGTCTGCCCTGAGGCAGGGGTGGAGTTGTTAACAGCAGAAGTGTTTGGAAAGCACCTGGGGTTCCTGCTAGGTAGATACCACGGAGGAGGGAAAGGCGGCAATGCAAGAGATGCTGGATGCCTGTGATACCAGTACTGAAGAAATGTCAATTAATTATACTGTAATCTCTGCAGATCTCCCCTCACCAGAGAGTTAAAGCCAAAACCACAGATTCTCAGATGGTAGAAACGAAGTCTGTTGAAGTCAGGGGATTTGCACTGGTTTAAACTTGAGGAGAATCTGTCCAGCCAGGTTTTTTAAAGACACTCAGGGTAATAACTAAAGTAGTCAGTACAAAAATGTATGTGTATCGAAAACAATCACCATCCAAAGGTATTTTAGTCACAGTAGTTTTTAGTTTCAGCATAAAACCTCATTTTGTGTGACAGACCTTGCTAAATACTGTTTTAATGACAATAGCTCAGCGTGTTTCCATATCTAGAAACGTTCTGCACTGAAAATCCTGACAGCTAGCTGGGAAGGAATAGGTGAAACCTGCTGGTGACCAAGATGCTGTGGGATAGGATACAAAGGCAAAAAGCAATGCATAATCCAGATTTATCTCTACTGAAGTGACTAATCTGTGGGATATACTGGAATGAGTTTGCCCCCCCAAAGAAGGGAAAAAAAAACCTATCCAGATGAGAATTTCTGCTTTGATATGCCTCATATAAACATCGCTTCTCTGCATGGAGAGAAGTTCTGAGATTTCAAAGCTTCTCTCTCGCCCTCTTCTGAGTTGTCACCCTAAACTGTTTATAGTGTTCCTAAAGCACGGGTTAAGTAGAGGAGAAAGAGCCCCAGCTATGGAGAGCTGGGGAGGAGGGAGGGCAGCCACTGGAAACAGTGTTTATTGACGAGGAGTGAAAGCATGCATGCAGCAGGATAATGAGCTTTTGAGCTCAACTGTGACCAAGAGGAACTGAGCTATCGCCTTCCCCGATCACTAATGAAACAAGTGTAATTTCCTCATCAACATTGGATTCTGTTTAACGACTCCCTGCCGTTGCCATCACCAGCCCTCTGCAGGCTCTACACTGCTCTGTGTAAACTGCAGTTCCCTTCAGCGGATGCTCTCTTCACCAACACAGTTTGCAGAAACTTGATGGCCTTTCTGGGAAAGAGAAGGAATTGAGGCAGGGATCAAAGGTGCTCTGTTACGTGTGCAGGAAACATCTCTCAGATGCACAGGTTAAGTGTAGCACAATACCTGATTCATCCTTCTCTGAGTGACTAACCCCTGCTTTTTTAAGTGTGTGCTCAGAGGCTACTGGCTTTCATCCACGTCTGCAGCCTGGGACCTGAAGTTACAGGCAAGGGCAAATGCAGGGTGTGTATCTTACCACATCATCCGCATAAACCTCAGAGATATTTGCATGCATGACTGACCATGTTGCATGGATGTACTGCTGCTGGAGACAAGCTCTTCCCTAGACTATACAAGTAGAAGTCTAGGGAAAGGTTGTCATGGATAGAACAGAGCACCTGTGGTTAGCACTGGTCAATCTTCTCAGAAACAGTTTTCCACTGGAAAATGCTGTCTCATCGAAATGGAAATGTTCTGCACGAGCATGTCAGCTTCAGTGGAGTCTGGAAAGAAAAGTTCTGAAATGATTGCAAATTGAAACAAAGTATTATGTTTCAACTTTCTTGTTTTGTTTCATTTTGTCTTTCTCATCTCATTTAATTTCCTTTCAACTCTTTTATTATTTTAATAAGTCTTGACATCTAGAACATGTTGACGTTATTGAAATGTTTCATCCTGATGTTTGCAAATTGAACTATTTCAAGATTCTGACTCTTCATCCCAATGCAAGATGAAAACAAATGTCAAGAAAATCAGAGTTTTGCATCGGTTGGAAATTCTGCTTTCTGACCAGTTCTATTTTTAGCTCTGCACCTTTCTTTAAAGAAGACAGAGCCTCTTTCTCATATTCACTCACATCTGGACAATAAGGTTTGTTGTGTGTCACTATATGTTTCTTAAAGATACTCCCTGAGTGGTCATTCTTGCTGGCTTCTTGTTTCAGATGTAGTTAAAGCACTGGTCCCTGATCTTTCTTGGCCTGGGGGCATGTAACACACCATTGGCGACATCATATTTGTTTTCTCTGTTTAACCTGGACTCTTAACAGAGGTTGCAAGCAAGAATAGAGGATCGATCTCATGAGGCCTATATTCTGTGCAATCTGTGCTCTGGGAACCTTTACTAACAGTATTTCTTGGTATCTGTATTTAAATCTTGGCACGTTTAGTCTTCTAATACAGAAACCATGAGGCATGAAGCAAGCCTAGCAGGTGGCAGGTTCAGAACAAATAAGGGAGGTAGTTTTCACACAATATGTAGTTAAGCTGCAGAACTTCTTGCCATAGGTTGCTACAGATGGTAAAGGCTTATATGGGTTCAAGAGACACTGTTTAAGTTTGTGGAAGGGAAACCTTTCGAAGGTGTTTAATATTAAATAGTAAGATACTAAGTCTGGCTTAGGAAGTCCCTGAGCTGCAACTTGTTGGAGGCTGGGAGGTCTTTTGAGAAAGTACTGATACGTGCTTGCTCTACTCTTATACCCTTCCCCAGGCATTCACTTTTGGCCCCTGACAGAGAGTAGTGGCTGCAGAGATCTGCAGTGTGACCCATTAAAGTCAAGTCTTATGTTCCTTCCCAGGAAGCCTCTTTATCTCCAGCTTGTTGGCTTCAGTCACATTAGAAGACAGGAATAGAAGGGCTGCCAGGCTGGGTTTGACCAGTGGGGTATGACTGAAACAGCCAGAACTTGATGCTCTGTGGAAAGATGCAGTAGCTACTGCAGGATGCCCAAGTAGGCCACCGGAAAAACTTCCTCTAATTGAATGCTGACATCAGATTTAATGTGAAGATATCTATTTGACTTGAATAATCTTTTTTTCTTTGACGTATAACTCAACTTTTTTCTTTATTATCCCATTCCTTTTCTTTTTGGGGGTATTTGTGTGGTTTTGGGGACACTGCTGTCTTATGGATAAACAGCCTCCAATCAAGGAGCTGAAATAACCTATTCTTGGATGAGTGACCCCTGTGATTAGTGGTCTTAAAATTTTTGACCCAGTTTAGATGTCAGTATCATCCTTGTGATGAGGATGTTAAACTTACATAGCAGTCACTGAACAGTTGAGAAGTTGAGAATAGTTAGAAGTTGAGAAGAGCCTGTTTTTCAGAAGTACCTATTGAAAGAGGCAGCTATTTTGCTGTTACTAATCATTTCTATATGCCATGACCTTCTGTAAGTCTTGACCTATAACTGACTTAAATGTTGACAACTGAGTCTACCTACTGTTACTGGGATGGGGGAGCAATTGATTTGTATTCTCTTATTGCTTCTCTGATTTTGGAGCCAAACCACCTCCCTGAGAAATTTAGTGTAGAAGCAGATGCCCTAAAATTTGCCAACTCTGAACCACCCCAAAAGTTCAGCAAGCTGGTCAGCTATACCAAGGGACTAAAGTGGGGGTGAGGAGGGGACCAATCCACTATCTTTTCCTGATCTGGGGGTCAATCACATCATCTTCACAGCATAGCCTGAGATTTTGTTGTGCCTTAGGATCGTAAGCAGTAGGTAGCTTGTTAGCTCTGGAACGTGACCATAGGTATTAGCCAGTACTTCACAGTACGTAAGCAGTGATTTGTCATTTAAAGATGTTAAGACTTTGTCCTGCAAACATTTCCCATCAGTGATATTTTCACTGTCCTCGCTGCAGCGTATGTTCGTTTAGCTAGCTGTTCCAAGATTTGGATGAGGGTTAAGTTAGGCTTTTCACTCATAGGCCTTGGCAAATGGTATTGTAGCGATTTAAGAGCTTTCTGTCCTTAGCTTTCTGCTGCTTCAGTTCTGGAGTCATCCCTCCAGTAGCAGAGGCTGCAGAACGGACTGTGTCCCTGCTCATTAGCCATCATGACTCACAACCCGGGGCAGTAACATAAACAGAAATCAGTGGCAGATGAAGTTCTGAGCTGCTGTGGCTGAGAAACGAAAATCCTGCCTCTTAATTTATCTACTGGGGATAACTGTCATCAGAGGAGTGGGGAATAGAGCCTGGGGAAAAAAAATCTTCAGTTGCCCTAGGGTAAATGGTGAAATGTTCCCCCTACACAGTGGGAGAATCCATTTGCCAAGAGAAGGTATTTCTCCAAAGGTATTGGGTAGCAAAGAAATAGTTTCCCTTTGGATGTAGGATTAGGTAGACAGTGCCTCCAATCCAAGAAACTATCTTACAGACAGGATGTGGGCAAGTAGGTGGTTCCTGAAAGTGAATAGTTAGTTTCTCCTGAAATGCGGTTAATCATTGCTGAGTTCTTAGCTAGTTTAGGCTATGGACAGTAGGTCTCCAAAACCTGCAGGTATTAAACTAACATTGATGATTTTCAGTTTGATGCCTTGGCTTTAGATAGAAGGTAAGCTGTTACCCTAAGTTAGTGGATGGCTGAATATCCTGAGCCACGAGCAGTACATAATAATCTGCACGGGTCATTGGAAAATAATTACATTAGTTAATGAATACTAAGGTTAATTAATTACCAATTAATTGCCACAGGTTCTAAATATCTAGTTGCCCATAGCAGCAGTGAATCAGTTACTAGAGGGGGAAAGAGATACGTTACAGAAAGTGTTGTTAGCTACATTGGTTGTAGGCACCTGATGATTTCTTTATGAAAAGAATAGGCCCTAATATCAGGTAAGCAATAGCAAAGCCAACTGTGAAAGCTCTTACAATGCTAGTATACCATTCAAACATGTGTGCACCATTACTGAAGTCTGGAGGCTGACTTACCAGGAACCATTCCTGCAAGAGTTGAGGTTGGGTAGCTGCCTTGTCCAGTTGGGGGAACATGGGGTGGGTAGCCAGGCAAGGTGGTGCTTGCCATATCACGACCTGGAAAGGCAAAGAATCAGGACAAATGATCAATAGGGATAAGATCTTTCAATATTGATTTGATATCACCTTTTGTCCCACCGTCACATGACTATCAGCTTCATAGGCAAGTGCTGTGTAGCCTTCTCTTACATAAGTGCTGACCATCCACTGAAAATTTTAGGGGAAGATTGTGGCACTTTTGATCTCACACTGTAAGGATGGATGTTAAAACTTAGCTTTGTGAGGCTCAAAAGAATTTGTTCTGTAGATTTTGGATCTATTTTAACTAAATCAAAATGGCCCTAAGCTGCGCAAAGAATGGCAGCATATTCATTGCCAGAGTACTGAGGTCCTGTCTATATGCAGTGGATGCAGTTCCAAAACTGTGGTGATGTTGTTTTAGGGCATGATCAATGCGCAAGGCATTGGAAAGTGATCCAAGAGTTTTCTGTGCCTGTCACTTTTCCCACCTCTGCCATTCACCTGCTGATGATTTTAGCCAAGTCACTTCACCTCTCTGTGCTTCTTTTTATGCTGCAAACTCTTTGGTGCAAGGGCACACTTGTAGTATATTTGCACGGTGCTTAGCATGAGATCAATACTGGTTGGACTCCTTCCAGGTGCTGGTGTAATATATATAATAATAGGATCATGCAAATTAGTTTGAGTCCCATTTCATTTTTATCACAGGTACAATTTTTTGTTAGTAATACTTAAAGTCGTGGTATCTTTTCTCCACCAAAGAAGTAGAGAGGGGTGTGGACTGGGTGGATGATTGTAGTTTATTTTTCATCTCTTAGGAAGTGCAGCTGGAGGCTTCTTGATTGATGCCAGAGGCATTTCCTCATTTGGACTGGTTAGCCTGAAAATGGTCCAGCCAGAAGGGCACTTTGCACTGTTAGTGCTTATTGCATTTAAATGAACTAAAATCATCTCGGAAGCTGCTGGGAGTTTCAAGCCAAAAAAAAAAAAAAAAAAAAAAAGCGCTAAATAAATTAAGATAATCTTTCCCCCACAGCCACTGAGAGATTTACAGCTCAACCTCCAGCACTGCCTACTGAGATCTCAGCCCGTTCCAGGCACCCAAAGCCTTTCACATTCCCTAGGTGAACTGTAGCTTACCAAGAAGTTTGTGCCATTTGTTGTTCCTTTGTTAAATTTTGTCTCTCCTGTCTGTTCTAACTGCACGGCTGGAGCCTGATTTGCCTTTAGAAGTGACAGGTTAAGTATGGCCCATTAACACCACTGGAGTCACTGGAACTGTGCTGGGATATGCCAATGAAAGAAGAATAAGAGTTGGTTTAGCTCTACTAGTGGCAGAATGATAACTGATAAAGCAGGCCCTGGAACAAGCATGAACCTTGACTGGGGAATCATAAATAAATAAGTTACACAGCAAAGCAAAAACTAATCAACATGGAGCATTAACCTGAAGGGAGGAAGTCTGTATGGGATGTGGTAGGCTGAACCAGTGTTGTTGCTTTCGTAGGTCTTGACTAAAGATTACTGAGGTGATGGCTCAAGAAAAAAGAAATGCAAGTTCATTCTTTCTCCCTGAAGAGGTTCCTGATTGGTGGCTGATGTGCCTAGCTCATCTCCTCTTAGATAATGGCACAGAACTACCAGACAACAGCTGAGCCATTTTCCAGCCACTCCCCAATACTGATAAAAATAAATATATAATGCCTCAGGGATTTATATTCTGCACTCTTCTACTCTTTTATCACCATCATTCCTTTAGTGATTTGTAGCTGTGTGTTAAGCTGTATGATTAACACCTACTAGATGTAGTTCTTTTTTTTCCCCCTCACATTCTTTTAAGGCAAGAAAGTTTTATGCTTAAAATTCATGTCCTTTTGGTTTCATATATTGACTAGCCTGAGAAATAACAACAGGTGGTGAGTGAGAAAACAGTGTCACTGAAAAGGTAGAGAGAACATTATGTAGCAGCAGGCAAATTTAATTCATTTTGACACTTCCATTCAAGTGGGAATGCATACACACTCACTCTGCTGCTCGATCTGTGCACATACGCCCCTGTGTTTTTATTCAGATACAAGCACACAGAGGCTGATGTTCAAAACTCAGTGTGGAAAATTCATTGGGAAGTGATCATCTGTCAAAATCCCTATCTTGAAAAAGAAGATAACAAACAAGTACAGTATCAGCAACACAAATAAGAGTCTCACAGAAAGACTCTTAAAATGCTGTTACATACAAGTAGGCCCCTTCCATTACCTCCTCTCATTACCAACAGGTAGACAGGATTATTAAATTCTTGTACTCCAGGGCTGTGGCAAAGCTAGCACCTATCCTGCTCAAAACATGCTTCCAACTCCAGCCACTCTCCCTTCTCCAAGAGCCTTCTGAGTGAGGAACAGCACCTTCATCACTGTGACATTGTTTGAGCTTTTGAACGCCTTCTCTCAGGTCTAACTCTCCACAAGGGTCCTAAGGCAGGTGCCTCTCCTGGAAACACTGCGCCTTCTAGGCTAGCAGGTGGTCATATATGACTGCATGCCCAGAGAACTATACTGCTGGAGAGAGTCCGTCAGGAGACTCCTTGGCTTAGGAAGTGCCCAGAGCTCAGAGGTTCTTATTGGCTGCAGTAAGATTGGACCAAGGCAGTGTTACAAAAGTCTTCTCTGCTGTTACTTGCTGCTTTCCTACAGGGAGGTTTAGAAATGCAAATCTCACCTGACATTACAAAGGGAGGATGTTAGGTCAAAAGAGAAAAATAATACAGGAACATGAAGGAGGCAGAGGTAAGATGTGTTTCTTGAGCATTAGGAAATGTGGTCTGCACTAAGACTTTGTTCTGAAAAAGCCAAAATTACATTCTTTGACGGTGGAGTGACAACAGCCTCAGTGGACACCTAAAATGATTCCCACTATTTCATCCAAGCCACCGCTGAGCTTCTGCAGCAATGTTGCTTCAGTCACCTTGCACAGGAGTTTCCCCTAGTACCTACCTGAAACTCCTCCTTCCTCCCCTCCAGCCTGCTGCTCCTAAGTGCTGTCATCTTCTGCAACCTATTTCTTCACTTCTGTCCTCCCCTTAAAGGCCACCTACCTCAAGTCTGTATTCCTTTGGCTGTAAGACATTAAAGTCTCTTACCCACCTTTCCTGGTCTTGACATTCAGATGTGATGCCCTGTTTCTTAACTACTTGGTCTGCTGTGTGAAGGCACCAGCTCACATTGACACTCTCAAACCAGGTGACTCAAATATTGCTCACAACATAGCTGTGGTACTGATCGCCAACTGCCTATGTATTTATCTAACTTAGTGATTTGTACAAGCCATGCTGAACGACCCTGCTAACAGTCCTAGAGCTGGCTAGGTTATTCAAGTTGTAATCATCTACCTTAGGCTAGCACACAGTACTCTTGCTGGGCCTACAGTACTCGAGGGCATTATGGCTATTGAGGCAACACATGACTTCGCTGTATGAGTGTTCCTGTACTAAGGCCCAAACCCATCCAACTGAGACACCCAGTCACTTCTAGGTAGTTACAGCTTGTTTTCCCATTTTATTCTAAAAAATTAAGGACAGGCATGATATTTTTTTGTGACTCTCCACGAAGCTGACAACACGTGCTGCATACGCAGAACTGGAACATGGTTGCTCTGGTTCCCACTTGCACTCAAAGAGCTTGCAGCATCTACTGGTCTCCCCGTCAGACGAAACTGAACCCCTTGCCTGCAGCATCCCCACTGAGTGTGTGGCCAAGGCCGGTTACCTGCTATCAGAGGCTGGCTGCTGGACTGCCCAAAGTGGGCACCATGATGAAGGAAGGCACTGTAGCAAGGCGTGGACGCATCATCTGAAAGGGCCATGTGGAAGGGCTGAAGATCAGCCTGCCCAGAGCCGACCGGCGTGGTGGGGGTGAAAGGGGTGAGAGAGGCTCCATGAGGCTCTTGCTTTATACTGAGGGGAGAGGAGAGGTTTTCTGTGGTAGGGTAAGGGATGGACACAGACAGACAAAGGGAACAGGGGGAGGAAGAGGAGGGTGGGGAAGGGAGGAGAGGAAGAACAAAATGGGTAAATGAAAATGGAGTGGTTAAAATCTACAGGGAAATTAATTTAAAAACAAAAATAAAAATAAAAAGGTTAGGAGTAGATCAGAGGAGCCAGTGCTGAGACAACAGCAGTAAACGCACCCGGGGGCTAGGCTCTGACTGCAGGGATGCCTCTGCAGGGGCAGCAGGAGATGAGGAGAATGGAGTGCAGTGGCAGATGGGAGGAATGGGATGCAGGAATAGGAGAGGTGAGGGAGGGAACATGCAGGAGAGGGAGGACAGGAAGAAGCGTAGGGTTGGGAAGGAGAAGAATGCTCTGAAGCTTCTGTGCTCCCTTTCCTGTTGCTTCCTCTCACTGGCCAAGGGTGCATGAAGATGCTACACTTACACAGTTTGGCCCAGGGAATTATACCACTTTGTCTCTTCAAATCCAAGGTAACCTTCCCCAGGAGAGCAATTATGAGTAGTTATGAGCATCTATTAAACAGGATGCTCGGTGTAATGGCCAAAGCTTGTCAAGCCAAACTCTGTAAAAGCTTTGACAAAAAAGGTGCAGCTGAAGTTTGAAGTGGTTAAAATGAAAAATGGGACTGTGCAATTAATAGGTGGATAGATAGATAGGTAGATAGGTAGATAGAATTGATCTCGTTCACAGTGGCACACTTTGGGGCTTTGACCATAAAAGCAGTCAGTACTGACTCTCAGAGTATAGTGTTGCCAGACAGATACCTTGGCAGAGAGATATAATGGAGGAGAGTAAACGTGGGGGACTTATAAGAGGTCTCATTTTCATTGTTGTTTGCACTGGACCTCCATTTCTGGTGTGCAGATTTGCATAGGCACAATAGATAGAGCATTGAAACTGCTCCTAACTTGGCTGCCAAGTAAGAGGTTTGGGAATTGCAGAACTCTGTGACCTAAAGCATAGGTACTCCAGAACACCCACTGTTGTTGGGTCAGCAGTAATAGAGTCCTGTACTTGAACACCTGAAAAAGAAGTATGGATGATGTGATCAGATCTGATCCAAATCATCTAGCAAACCATCCACCCTCAGGTAAACAAATTAAAGCCAATAAATGAAAGCCATCTCTCTGCCGTGATGGCAAGTGTTGCCAGTGGCCTATGAAATAAGTTAGTTCTGGTGGTTTTGATTTATACAGAGAAATATAAATGTGACATATAATTAGGTCATAAATCTGACTTCATTAATGTAGAACTGGCTTAATTAACTCTAGGCACCTTATTGTGAGGCTACAGTGCTCACCTAGACAATAAAGGGCTGGACAGTTTCTATCTGTGAATGCTGTTTATCCTGAGGCATTTGTTTCCTAAAGGTTTGCTACCTGGCAAAAATGATAGTTTGCCATCTGTGTTCTCTTCCAAGTACCTCTAACCTGGATGGCCAGCAAAGGTCTCCGATCACTGAGACTCCTTTGCGGCAAAGACATATGTTCATGGTTCAATTGATTGGGAAGGCTCAGTCCTGGCCAAAAGGTGTACAGTTCCTCTTTATTTAGTTTACTTATGTGAAGTCTCTGGTATGCTAAGTAAGGGTTGTAATTTCTTCTCCCTTTTTGCTGTAGGAAACTCTGTTTGGCAAGGACCTTTTGTGGAGGATATGGGGCATAGAAGCTGGAGTATCTGGTTCTTGTTGCACGGTTAATTAGTGTCACCAGAGTAGGGCAGCACATCAGTGCCCAGCTTCTGCATTTTACAAATATTTACTACCCTACAATCCTACCAGGGAGCCTTCACGTGCTAGTGCCAGTCTCTGTAGATGGAGAACCCCCAAAGCTATTTTTCTCCTGCATCCTCTGTCATCAGATGGCAAGGAGGGCACAGATCTACCTTCAGGCCAGACAGGCAGAGTCACCACCAGCAGTCTGGGAATGCTGAAGCCTTTATCCAAATAATGTTGATGCTAGATTATTTGGATGAATACATCTCCCTGCAGGCAGAGGGCCAAAAGTTCCCCTGGCTTTCAGGGGCTGCAAGTGAAGTGATATTTTTCAAGGAAACCATTTGACAGTCATACCTAAATAAACTAGGGACGCTTTGGTCCTGGGCATTTTCTGGGCTCCTTTTTCAGCTCTCTGTACTGTGCAAGAGAGAGCAGATGTGGGGAGCTGCTGGGGAGGAAAGGGCAGAGAAGAGGATGGACACGGGAAGTGTGGGTGGGCAGAAGCGAGAGGTGCTATGGACAGAGGTTAATCCTGTTTGCGCAGCCCCCAGGCACGTTGGGTTTCCTAGTCCCTCCCCTGCTTTATTTCTCTTTTAAAGCATCGAATTTTCAACTATAATCCTCCCTAAACCGCAGCATTTTTCAGGCGCTCTGTGTAAGTGAAACCATAATCTCTAGTAAAACAGACCGCTTAAGCTGCTGTAGCATTAGGCCAATCTGATCCAGCCCCTGGATTTCCGCTCTGCCCAGCCACCACAGAGAGGATTTCAGCCTGAAAGACTGTCTAAAGCCCTTGCAATGGGAACAACAGTGCCAGGCCTTGCCTTGCAAAGCTGAGAAGGGTTAAGGGACCAGGAGCTATTTGTCCCGGTGTTGTGACAGGGGCTGTTAAAGCCCCTGTCAGACTCACAGCAGAGATGAGCCCAGCCCTCTCTTGAACACATCAAGGCTTATGAAGAAAAATTCTTCACACCTTCCAGAGGCAGCACCACTTAGTCAGTGCGGGGGGATAAAGAAGTCAACAGTAACATGGCAAAGAGACTGGCACACAATAATGCTAAACACTCTTCTCTCGGAGAGTAGTGGAGAGGAGGCGAGGATAAGGTCAGACAGCGAGTGATCGCACAACCAAAACTCAGACTTTTATGTGTCTATCGGTCTATCTTTCCTTCTATGCTCTGCAACTACACAGATATAACTTATATCTCATGTATCTTTACTGGTGGATGACATTTACCAACTTTTATTCCTTTGTTGTCCAACTCTCCCCTGACTAAAAGCACCTGAATTCTGTCTCCGATATAACTCCTGCCACTGCTATGCTGGAATAATTGCCCCAGCAGTGAATTATAGCTCCAAAGTGTGTCAGTGTTGATGAGATCAATTGATTGATCCATTCCTATCCACCTGTGAATGGCACAGTCCCATTTTTCATTTTAACCACCTCAAACTTCAGCTGCACCTTTTTTGTTTTCACTTCTGCTTTTCTCCATTCTCCGATTCTTCTGTATTCGTGATGGAGAACTTGCCCCTTCCTCTCCCAAGTCCTGCTGGTGCCAGCAAGCTGTGGAGCCGTGCTGGCCTGGCTTGTCTGTGTCTTCGGGGGTGTCCCTCAGTAAGGCTGCATTAGGGAACCCCAAGGTATCTGTCAGTGTCTTATTCCTAAGGCTGGAATACTGACCTGTAATCAGGTGGGTGGAATAAATTTGCAGCCCCCCAAAGCAGCAGAAATCTATTCCTGTCCCAGGCTCCTTTCTTCTTCTAAATGGCAAATAATATCCTTGTTTATAAGCAACAAAAAAATACCACCCAATGTCATGGCAGGGGAAATTTGAAAGGGTCAGCAGGGTGGCGATATAGCTAGAAACATACGTATTTTCTGCATCTCCTGCTCCTCTCTTTCTGACTGTACTTGCTGAGTTATGGCTGGTTTTCTTCCTTTCTAACCCTCTCCTCTGTTATTCTGGCGGAGAGCTAGAACTGGTGATCTCTGGCCTAAATTCCCCCTGCGAATGAAGGGATTTTGGCCAGACAGGGTGAGAGGAAGATTCACAGCTTTGGGTTCCTACAGAGAGTCGTCTCAGCTTTTATCGTGCTCTCTGCTGCTGAAGGGAAGAGAAGCAGGGGGGTTTGCAGGACTAGATAAGCTGTTTGTTTTCATTGCTGGCTTCCTGGAGGATAAGCTACCTGCATCCAGTGCTCCTTTTCTTTTCAGTAAACAAAGAATATCAAGATGGCACATCCCTGCATAAGGGCTGTCTTGTACACACTTAACAACAGTGCTCACCATCTTGACAACACTTAGCGTTCTTCATCTTTTCCTGGGGTCTCTACCAAATATTTATATGACCCCAGTGCCTCACTCTTTAGAACGCGTATTTTTACAGCATCCCTTAGGGATCGCTGTTTTATCTGTGAGGAACTGAGCCCAGAGAAGACATACCCAAGTTCGTGTAGGAACCCTGTGCCAAAGCTGAATCTTGTCTCAGGTGTTTTGAATCCTATGCTTGTGCCCACCATTGAAACATCTTTTTTCCGTATTTGCATTCTCCCTTCCTTAGAAAGGCTTCATTGTGGCAAACAGAATGGGACTGGGTCCTCAGCATTCATAAACTGTTGAGTTTACACTACAGCCAGTGGAGTCACATTGCTTTATCCCATGTGAGAATCTTGCCTCAGAAATTCTAGAAGTCATGAAAAAGACCAAACTGGACTGACACAGCATATCTTTCGCTTTTGCTTTCTGTCATGTCAGAAAAACCACTTTTTCTTTCATTTCTTAGTTTTCTAGCTTTTCTTTTGCAAGAGCATTATGCAAGTAGGACTAAAGGTAAAGATCATCCTATTTTTCTTCCCTTCTCTGTGATCGTAGCAGACCTTTGCTAGAACAACTAAAAGGCATGCAAAGACTAATCTGCTTCTCATTGTACCT